AGGCCCTGTTTACAAGCAGGTAGGGTAACCCTAGTGCTAGGGTTACCCTGGCAGGAGGGTTACCCTAACGCTCCCACATTTCTTCTTTTTTTCATCGACGTGTTTACAAGGCAGCTAGGGTTACCCTAGCACTAGGGTAACCCTAGCTGAGCGCTAGGGTTACCCTAGCGCTAGGGTAACCCTAGCTGCCTTGTAAACGCTCTGCTGGGGATAACTCGCCTACCCGGGACAACTTTTTACTTGTTTCCAGACCCTTTGAACATTGATAACAATGCGTGCGGTTACCAAGCATAGGTAAGTTGTCCCGGGTGGTAGGGTAACCCTACCTGTGAAATTTTGCTTGTAAACCCGGGCTATCTTTGACCCGCCTGCTAGGGTAACCCTAGCACAAGGGTTACACCCCCTTGCTTGTAAACGAGGCCTTAGAGAATTGTAGTGTCGTTGACTCGAGAGCTTATTCTGTCACCTTTAAGACCTTGATGTAGTGTTTAGACATTTCGTTACTGTTATATAGAGTTATCTGTGCGCTAAGAATCATGGTACTGTAACATGGCGTGCTCGCTGGTGTAGATTAAAGAAACCGTTGAGTTTATCTGCATTTATCTGGGTATTAACAGGCCATCAATACACTTGATATCCATTCTTTTCCAAGCAGAGTATTCTATGGCATTGTTACTTTGCATTCTGAGTTCCACAAGGTCTAACTCGATCGCAAATGAACGAAAAATCCGACCCGAAAATTTTGAGGGTCGGCCACGCGGACGTCATATTTTCAAATTTGATCATATAGTATTTTCGTGATAGCATACATGATAGAGGGCACGTACGTACGTACGTACGTACGCTCGGTCAGTCACGTGTCAATCAAACGAAAATAGGTTGACCATATTCCATAGGTATGGGGCTCTACCCCACGCTAAAAACGCACGCAAAATTTTTTTTCTATGCTTTTCCGCCATTGCTTCAAATAAATTTTTTCTTACTTAGCTTGCGAATTCATTGACCATGTTCGTCGGAGCGAGGTTACGAGTTCGGAGCAAAAGGTTAAGTATTGATTTTAAATCAAACGTTAAGAAAATGAGAATAAAGGACTTGACCACCGATGAAAGAAGCACGCACTTGAACATTAAACAAAATTTCTTGTCGGTACCACAAGAAATTCATAGAAAACAGCATGGAGAATATGGAAACTGAGGTTAAGATGTAAGCACATAATTTTTTTTCTCCGCAAGCATTGATCACTTATCAAGTTAACTGCTTACCACGATTTAAAATTTTAAAGGGTACACTGAGCTTTCGAAAACGTCCGAAAAAGTGCCTTCAGTTATTGTCAAAACACATGCGTACACACACACATCGGTAATTGAGTCTGGTGGATCTTTGAGTGTTCTACAAATCATTCTAAGATATCTAAGAGAGACAGAAATAAAAAAAAGGGGGAGCTTTGGTACGTTACAGGGAAAAAGTTAGCTTGGAGGAGAACAATGTCGAATTTTAAGCAGAATTGAAGAAAATTTTCGAAAGTTTACTTAACTTGCTTCACAATCAGAGTCACAATTCCTTGTGTACTTTTCCAGTGTTAGTAAAGATAAAGATTATGTGGTTTTATGAAGCATACTTCTCCTTTAAATTTCATAACGTCGGCCGGTGTACTGTGGATGGAGCCTGACTGGGATATCTGGAGAGGATTCTAGAAACGTTGCAAGTGTTGCGCAGCGGCGTTAACACATCTTTGATGAAGCTTCTTAGAGATGAGTGAAAAATACCGATTTTCCTTGCTATGAACATTGACATGAAGGAAAACAAATTAACCTTACTTAAAACGATGTAAATTGCAACTTGCCAGGGCCACCGTCCCCTCTTTGAAGTTTTACCACCAACGATACGTCTACGCGGATCAAATGAGCTACCTCCACATAAGGAATAGTCTGCAAGAAAGATATATTAAAGTTCACACAGCAACCGGGTGGACAATCAGACATGGTTTGATGCTACTCTGGTTGAAAGAATTAAAGAATGTAACCGAGGAAATTACAATTCATCGACCCAAAGTTTCGACACTCCTGTCTCGTGCCTTCATCAGGGGTGACCTGATCGTTGCAACGAGAGGACCTTTCAAAATTGGTTGGGATAATTCTAAAATTATCACCACTAATCGCCGCTACCACCTTTGCCAAGAAGCAAGGCATATCAACTCTGCCCAGGCTCCTTTAAATCGTGATGATGACCGCTTACTACCTGACGCGTATTTCAGTTACATCTCGTCAGAAAAAAGGGCAACTAATTAGTGCGCATCTAAAAGGTCCTATTGTTGTAACGATCAGATCACCCCTGATGAAGGCAGCAGACAGGACTGTCGAAACTTTGGGTCGATGAATTGTAATTTTCCCGGTTACGTTCATCAAATCTTTCAACCAGAGTAGTATCAAACCATGTTTGCATGAAGATGATACGCTTTTCAAAAGAAAAAAGGATCTGTAGTAGGAATGCATTTTTTGCCAGATAAAATAGGCGTCTATCTCCTGCAACAACTCTTAAAAAAAGTTTCGAAAAATGAAGCTAAGGCCAGATGAATTAGTGGTTTGTTGCTCATGTATCTTCAGATACAGTCAACAATTGTTTTTGTCTCCGTACTTTCTGTGAGAATCGCCAGCAACATTTTTCAACGCACCGAAGCCCCTCAAGCCGCTGGCTGAAGTTATCAACACTGTGTTTGTGTCTGTTGAACCTCTCCGACTGCGGAAGCCTCAACCATACGTAACATTGAAGTAATCTACGAGCATCAGTTGCTTCAATTTTCAACACTGAATCAAGTAACTTACCAACATGGGTGTTCACTGCTTTATTAATGGCTCTATCAAGATCACCATAACTCCTTAGGCGTACTACATTTTGCTGGCCTTCCGACGCTATTTGCCATAGTTCTGATCGACGTACCTCTTTTCCCAATCCTTGGCATGAATAGAAATACAGTAAGAAAATTGCAAGGAAATATTTCAAAACAAAGGAGATAGCACTGAGCAACCTGGCTTGAAGCTAGAAACGGCCCAATCGCGTAACCTTGGAATCTTATCTTTAGTGAATGACTGGATTTTGCATAGTAATATAAACATTTCAAAAACAAAGCAGAGAATTTTGGACGTAAAAGGTCTAAAAAGTTGATCAACAATGACAGTTTTAACTGTTACACTGGAAAATGTCGTTTGAGATCAGGAGAGTGAAGACAAATCTTGCCGTCTGGAAAATCAGATGCCATCTTCATGGCATATAAAACCTTCAGTGGCATTCAGTTATTCATCTCTCCAAGAATTCAAAATTCATCTCGGTTTTTGTTTTTTGTTTGTTCTTTTTCCCAGAGGATGAAAAACTTCGTCAATACGGCTACACGGGTGACAAAGTCTGTGATTTTGTCACGAAAAGTTCAACTCATTGAACTTTAAGTCTAACGCACGGCATTCACGGAAAACAGCTTTAGTGTTATAGTATGTAGTTTTAATTTTAAATTTCTTAGCGTATGTGATATGATAAGCAAAAAATCGCTCTTGTTGCTGCGGCTTAACATTGTGAGATGTGGAACCGGGCTGCCGGTCAGTTTCACGGAATGAGTTTAATTCAAACAAGTTTCATTCGTGACCATTCACACTGATTCAAATTTCATCTGGTTTCACCACTCTTTGACAGTCTCTCAGTTGCGTCATTCTGTGTCTTGGCCAACCCTCCCTGAGTAGCAAGTGATCTTGAACGAAAAGTAACTCCCTCCTCCTCCCCAGGGTAAGATTTGACATAAACGCGCTTTCGCCAAATATTCAAATTTCGCGCTTTTGCAGTAATCGGCTATGTTCGAATTTACCTCGTAAATTTCGCTATTGTAAAGGGTGTTGTCTTTGAATTTGATCAGCTCTTCTTGATACGAAATAGAGTCAAGCTTACGATTGAATGGGAAGAGATGCATGTTAGCGTTACTAGGCACCATGAGCATGAGTAAAACGCAAATACATTACGCCGAGAGATTAAAAACAGTTTATAATATCTTGATTGTACTGCAGTTGTGATAACGATTCAGGTCTAACCATACAAAGTTATGATTTTAGGTGGATAAGGAGAGCGTTAATTTCTGTGAGCGACTTCCTTTTGGTGGGAATTCACAGAAAACTTGATTCAATTTTGGAGAACTGCTAGACCAGGACTATGGAAATGATCCTACAACATAGAAATTTATCTTACCAATGACGTATATTTCAAACTTATCTTCTTCGCGGAGAATTTTCGCAACTTTCTGGGGAGGACCACCCACATTTGATTTTCCGTCTGTTATGAATATCAGCACCCGATCGCTGTCGTACCTTGTCTGAGGGACCACAACATCCTTGACCTTCTTCAAAGCATCAGCAGAGGCAGTTGCCCCTCCCTCGTAGTCTATCTCGTCGATAGCCGAAAGAGTCTTTTTGATTGTGCTGACTTTGTCGTCTCCCAAGTTGAAGCGAAGGGTAACGTCTGTGCCAAATGTTATGGCTGCTGTTCTTATTTTGTCTTTGAAAGCCCTGAAAGTAGCATTTTTTTCCGCATAATTCACAGAAGTATAGTGGATTCCTTTTCTTTAGAATATCCTAGCGTCTGATAAAAGTGGTCCTATACCTTGAGAGGACACACTTTTGAGACTGATCCAGGTTAAAATATCAATAGTAACCCGGACACACCCTAAGATGCTGCTCGGCATAGTGAAACACCAGCAACAAACCATGCATGAGGACTCGCATAAGAGGAGTTCAAGATTCTCACTAATACACTGCAGAAATACTTTTAATTTAATTAATTAATTAATTTAATTAATCGATTAATTAATTAATTAATATTTATATTGCGCAAATTAATATTTGAATATGATCAAATGCGTATTACAACACTTTCGGGGGACTTTAACCGGACTGCATTGAGCAGTTTACAATATCAATCAAAGGAGTTGAAGATGCCCCCTCCCCCCAATTCCCAGTAAACAGGCCAGACCACATCACAGTAATCTCGTGAGTGGGTTCTTTAACGTCCCCTGCCTAACCAAATCAACTAATTAATAGATGAAGCAGACGGAACTTACGGTTTATTCGTCCTTATCCGAGAAGACTAGAATGTCTATCCATTTCATGATATTATAGAAAGGTAGCACTTTCTCCTCAGTTATTTTAAGACCTTGAGTGTTGGTCCGGCCGGGGGCTATTGGAGAAGCAGCCCAAGATTTAAGATACCCTAAGTTGAATGAAATATTAGCAATACACGTGTGACACAAGTCCACATCCCAACTTCAAGATTCTCAGCAATGCCGGATAGCGCATGTTGACGTCAGCGTTGAGATGCGGCCTCAAATTAGAGATTCAATCCACAAATTTCGTGATGCGTTCTAACCTTACCTTATTATCGCTGCATGTCTTAACAAGGATGTTTTGTCAAAAACGTTAGGAAATGAGAAGATTTAACTTATTGTTGCAATTCGAATGGTTTGTTACATGTACTACAAAAATTTTTAATACGTGTTATGCATTCTTGGCATTGATTGACGCATGATTTTACACTTCTCGTTTTCACCTAACTCCAACCACCTTACAGACTGCGAACGCAGACACATCTTTGGTTACCGCTTTTCTTCGCCCGAAAAGTAACGCGTGGGAATTCGAGCGGCAGAACTTTATCTTGTCAAATAACCTAACGAATCAGTTGCAGTTTAGCATGCGGGGACACGTTTTCATCTATAAAATCATACGGGTATCATCACTTGCAATTTAATGTAAAGTGACAGCTAAAAGGTTAAGGCTGCTTTAGAAATAGCCCGGCGATATAAAATTTATTTTCACTACTTAAAAGTGTAGATAACTTTTGCCACTCAATGAGAGTCCAAAGAGTAATCTTATCTTTCCAAATTGTCTTCTGATGTGAAAAATAATAGACTACGAATGCCGCCATTCTGAATATTTTTTACGGACTAGCCTTAGAAATCTGTTTGAACAATTAGAAGCTTCTAGGGAAAAAAACATTCCAGACCAACCAGGGTGGCAGCTGCGCGTGAAAACCGCACGTTATGGTTTTTGCTTCCAAGACGAGGCTACTGTAAAATTGCTACACATTTAAAGGTAACTATACATTTGCCAATTCTTAAATATATTTTCCAAGGGCAGAGATACTAATCTTACGGTTTCTTGAGCATACCGACTCTCCAGTAGAGGAGTTCGAGGTAGAATGAACCAAATATTTGTTCAAAAAAAGAATATTAAAACTAGATCATTGAAGAAACTCGGAAAGTTGTTACTGATCTGCCCGGGCAGACTGTCAATTTATTCATGCTGAGTGTACTGACGAGAAATTGTCATCGTCGTGATTTCTCCTCTGACAAGTTTTTTTTGGAGATCATTTGCATAGAGGAAAGCAACAACCGTTAAAAAACTCCACGTTGACAGAATAGCGAGGTGCCGAAACCCAAGTAAAAGAAAAGTGTAACTCTCGTTACGTACCTCGTACTGTTTGTGCCAAGGAATTTGACAAGCTTCTTCACAAACCTCAAACCAAGTTTGAATTTCTCTACGCTTACGCTGGTGGAAGCATCAAGCACAAATACTAGATCTAAACTGTTATCATACTGATTGAAGATTGCTCTCCCTCGTGTGTCTCCGGAGGAGTTTTTTGCATCGACACTAGTGTACGCAAGTAAGGTATCGATCAGATTTTTACGAAGGTTGAAGGCCGTTGTGTTAACATCTTCAAAACTGTCCTCGACTTCATCTGATTAAAAAACAAAAATGGAAAAAATATTCAAACACAAACAAAAAAGAAACATTATCTTGTGTTTGGGTCATATCCGTGAAACTCATTTGCTTAAAACAAAACCTTTTTAACACATAAACTAATGGAAAAAGTAGGCATAATTCTATACCTTTACAGAAAGTCTCTGTGCCATTCCAAGTCCCGTTCTCATTACAGATCCGCACCGCAGAACCCTTGAGTACAAATCCATGTTTGCACTCGAATTTCACAAGGTCTCCTTTGTTGTAGCTGCTACCGTATTTTCGTCCGCTTACGGGAGTACCAAGAATTGGGCAATGGGTGTCTGAAAGAAAAATATTAAGCAATTCAAACTTCATTTCTCATAAGGCCTCAAACACATAGTTTAGAGGAAAATAGTTTCAATTCTTCAATATAATTTTCATCAAATGACCATCGAGGGCACATAAACTAAGGGTAAAATTAGTGGCGAGTGGTGCTAAAAAGTTTTGAGATTTGACTTTTGTGATTCCAATCCTTATGTTATAAATTGAAAGGTAAACATCACTTTGCGCTGTCTGATAAGACAAGATAAGCCATTTCTCATTTCCGTAGTTCAAATGAACTGATGAAAGAAAATACAAATTGGACTTACCATGGTAACCGGCAAAACATACTTACTTCCGTTTTGACAAGTAGTCAGAGATCCACTCCATTCTTTATTTTCCAGACAGGTTCTTACGGCAGAGCCGTGGAGTTTATATCCTGATTGACATGAAAACTGCATCGTACTTCCAACTGTTCTGTATCCAAATCGGCGACCACCCTCTGGTCTTCCAGGATCAGCGCAAACTTTCTCTGTTTGAATGACAATTAGAAATTTAAAATAATGAATGAAATAGCATATCCCTCATTAATCAGTGAACAGTTCAAATGTCCATAAAAACTCTCGTGGCAAACAAGTCTTAATCGTAAGCGAACGTATTTGCATCCAGACGTGGAAACAAAAAAACAAATTCCGAAAAAACAAGGAAAAATGGTTGAAAGAAATAGCTGATGAGTAAGATGGCCAAATCCTCCCTCCATTATTTATTCCTGTTATGTATCGCATGCCTCCTCCGCCCCGTTGAATTGAACGCCTAGGTTGGGTTACACCAAATGCACTCACTGATACAATATGGCCACCGTCGAGGTGTCCAGCCATTTTTCAAGCAACTGACTGTTTCGTCTCCTTTCAACTCATAACCTTCATTGCACTTGAACAACAACGTTGCACCATAAAAGTAATTGGTATCAGATGAGGTTACATTTCCATTTCGCATAGTTAGCTTTCCAGGATTCTCGCATTGGATTCCTGTGGACATATATTGAGGGAAGAAAATATTAGAACAAATTTGAGGTGGAGAATAGAGACGAATTTGAACTCTATAGGTAAATTAGATTTATATTTAAAGTTCATGTGCTTTGTACTTAAGTGTGTTGCCGTTTTCTACCATCCACTGTAGTTGTTTTCAAACTATGGTCAATTTGTTGAGGTATTTTGGGAGATACGCCTCTTATTAACCTCAGTTTACTCAGTCTTTACTGTAAGTTACAGAGACTTTAGAAAGAAGCGGGCCGTACAGTGAAGTACGGCCCACTAAATTAACCAATCAGCCCACACACAGAGAGATATGATAAGTATCTGTTACATGCAGTTGTTGTATAGTTTTAAATCTCGATCGTGAGGGACGTTTTACGACTTACGTGAACATGAAGGAGCTGTAGACCACACTCCATTTTCGAGACACTTTCTGCTGCTAGGTCCGTTAAGTTTGTAGCCTCTCACACAGCCGTAACTGAGTGTATCTTCAAAGTCATAACTGGAGCCTTCAATCTGAGCATAAGAAATATTATCGGGCTTCCCGCAAGGACCTGAAAAAAGAAAATAATAGCGATGGATAGTCCTGAATAAAAGGAGAATAAAACACTACCTGACCTAGACGACATGAGGAGTTAAAGTCGCTAAATTTTTGGCAATTTCAGCGAAAAGTCGATTTGCAAGAAGCCGAAAAGCGTACTACCATGTTTTCTCAAGCCTATTGCGTTTTTGAGAAAGTGACTCTTGAACTGAACACACTCGCAAGTAATCAAACATGGAGTCTACAATGCCATGATTTCGTGAATAAAATACTCTTACTGTGCCAGTATTTGTGCTTTACAGTCCATGGTTTCACTGGAAGGGGCGAGAGAATAAAACAAGTACTTATGCGACAACATAAACAACTAGAGTGTAACGAACCTTCACACTCAGGTGCTCTGGACCACTTTCCAGTTATACCGCATTTTCTTCTTTTAGGTCCTTTCAGTTTGAAGCCATCATCACATTTATACCTTAACGTATCCTTGAAGTCAAAACTTGAACCTATGTATTTAAGGTGTGGTATATCTTCTGGTCTTCCACAAGGTCTGGGCACTAAAAGACAATAGGAGGTAAACAGATAAATTCAGATCAAAATATACAACCTTGTGAAGGACTTTACGTTAAGGAAGATTTTGGAATCAAAACCTTAAAACGTAAAATGCGAACAAAACAAATTACTTTTTTCCTTGCAAATTTTTGTCTTTGAAATCGCTTGAAGGATTCAAAATGGTAGTTCTCTTTTTCCCTTTGTATCACTTTTAAGTCGTACTGTGATACGATAAAATTAAAAGATAAATGAAAATTGATGGTCCTGGTGGTGATCAAGGTTCAAATACGTATAGAAAGGCTGAATTTAATATTGGAAACTTCCGACATGGGAGATCAGTGCAATTAAAGAGTAGAATTAATCATTGATAACAACAAAAACATATGCACCATCACTATGATTTACATTTTTTTCATTTGCTGACAGAGAACTTTCATGCAATTAAGTGATTTGAAGTTTCCTTACCGTAACGTTTGCACTTGCTTCTGAGTGACATTAATGAATTGATCCTTTCTAATACGAAGATCTCGGCACATTTTTGTCATATTCTACTAATTGGGAATACTATATTTTCCTTAATGTTAACTTCGAATGATCGCTGTTAAACCGCCCGAGTATTCTCCAGCTATGAATTACATTATTTCTAATCATTAGTTTTTTCCTTTGGGAGAAGCCGTGGATTTTAAGGCTTTAAATCACGTTTGAATCATTTCTTGTTACCTAAACATTTGGGTTCCTTCTTCGCACTCCATTTTCCTCTCCTGCAAGTCCGCAGTTCTGACCCGGACAAAATGAACCCTTTGTGACAGACGTATTTTGCTTTGGAGTAGCGAATGTTGATGTAGATCATGGTATGTTTCGGTGGATTCTTCAGTAGATCTCGGAGCATCTTTACGCAACCACTCCTACTAGACCCTGAAGTCAATCGATTGCACACAAGTAAATTAAGGTCGTCATACCTTATTTCCTCGTATAAGCGCCCGCGCTCTAATAACCGCTCTTCCCCGAATAAGCCCCCACCTCCTTGCTAGGCCATAATGTCAAACGAGCGCCATCCTCGAATAAGTGCCATAGCCTCCTCCCTCAATTTCTTAAATAGGAGAGCCTGTTTCTCTTCCCACTTCATAACTTTTTAAGCTTCAATTACAGCGGGATCAGTACAAGAGAATAGATTCTTTTCCGTTAAGTCACTTCCAGTTTATTCTATTTCCATGTGCGTGTAAAGTTCCTTTATATGCGCAATCATCTGTTCTTTTAATTTCCTTTTCCTATTGCCGTGCCAACTTAAGAAGCGCCCCCTTGAATAAGCACCCTCCTTCAAATAAGCGCCCCCTCCCCTTAATTGACAGTGCTTATTTGAGGAAATGCAGTACACGAGTGCAAAAACTAAGGAATTTCATGTCGTTATTTATTACCTGGAAGGGGAGGGTTCGTGGGATTTTGGTTGTGTCACGATCAGTTGTCTTGATTTTAAATAATCAAATGCTTGAGATACGAGATTTCAAACTTACTTGCACTCTTGATAGGCTGAACGGAACAGGTCAATATGCCAGCAAACGCACATATTACAATCTGCGAAGAGGAATAAAACAAAAACAAAAAAATATCAGATTGTCTATCCAGTCACGCAACACCTTGAAGTGGAAGAGAAAGCGTTTGGCAAGACGAGCTGAAACGAAGGTTGCCAACGAGGCGACTTAAATCCTCTGATGCAGGGAACGATCGAAAGAACAAACGAGCGAGTAAACCATGGATTATTTCAAGTGGTCTCTATGAAGTATACAGAACGGGTCCAGAATTTTCACTTCACCCTATATCGCACTAACTCGGTTTTAGAGACGTTTGGATCCATCGAGGACATTTGTCTGGACTATCTGCTTATAATTGCTTGAGCACAAAACGTCACATGATTTATCGATGTGAGGGAAAAGTTGAGAATTTAAACACCTTTTTTACTGCAAAAATATCCTAAAAACGACAATCCAGTAAAACTGATGCATCCCAAAACTCTTGTCTAAGATAAACTTCGTCTTAGATATTACAATTATATTGAAACGAACGGCGTCACTGTGGGTCTTTTAAGAGTAAGATGAGCCTCACACAGCAACATGAATCGTCAAAATCTTCCTTTACACTTTCTGATAGACATCATATTTTTGAAACTGAGTCACGGTAAATAAGCTATTTCCTTTCCTATCAGATTCATCTTTATTCCTCCCAGAAAAAACTATGACACTGGATCAATTAACATTCTCAGTCTTCAATTCATCGAAACGCATTCAATGGAAGATGAACATTTTTCCACAATAATCTGACTTGCGAATCAAGAATCTCACAAAACCCAGACTGGAACAAATGTCATTTGCAGGGCATATTTGCTCACTTTTTCATCCCCAAATCGAGGAAGAAAAGGTAGAAAACAAATAGTTTGTATAAAAGCGACTCACCTTGAGTCCCAGAGACATCTTGAACGTGTATCACATCTCCGGTTTGGTTTACAGTTGCACCACTTCCGCTGCATGTTTCAACTTCCTTAGTAACTAATGTTTTTGAATCCTTTCAGCGTTCACACTCTACTCTGATCTTGCAGTGCCCTCAAGGCATGAACAACTGCCAACACAAACAGCTACTCACGCGCATTAGCATAATGAGATTTTGATGCGCTTCAGCGGAATGGAAAGTTAAGTTCTTTTATTACAGTTACGTAAATATCTTCTATTCAAACGTGTGGCTGCCGGTGGTCACAAATTTCACGAGCACACAACAACGATAAGATTAATTTTTTAATTTTCTTTTTAAGTTTTAAGTGTTCAAGCTCTAATCATTGCTGCGCAGCGAGAGTAGCGAGAGAACAGCTACATAATCAGAATTTAAGAAGAATAAAGGGAGTGCGAATTCTCTGAGAGTGTGTGACTGAAAAGGCAATATTTTTCTTCTGCGCGTGCCGTTTTCTTTGTTTTTAATGTATGCTTTCCCTCCCACAGAAAATAACTTCAGATATGTTTCTCAGTGGAACGCACAGGTAGATGAATCACTGCGTAAACTGTCACTATCAACAGATTGTGTCGCAGCATCACTTTTTAAGGAATAATGTTTCGAAAAAGCTAAAAGGTTTCAGAGGCACTTCAAGCAGTGCCCAAAGTGCATCAAAATCGAGAAAAGCAGCCAAGAGTAGGAATTACATTCTTCGGTGAGGACGACGTGGTGAGTGAGCAAAACATAAAAACTACTCTGAGACAATATGTATCAGTGTTTTATCACAGTATTATGGTTAAATACTAAGTCAAATCAGAAACAGAGTGGATATAAGTTATTTGCATTGTGTTTTCTCTTTTACAAATGTTTGAGAATGTTTTCTGAAAAATGGCTATTTCGACCTCATGGTTCTTGCCCCCTTCAAATTTTATCACTTAGACAAGCCAAAGTGGCCATCCAAGTGTGCGCGCTATATTCTTTGTTTTATACTTTCTCTTCTGCTGAAAATAACTACAGAGATACGTTTCTCAAGACCTCATCTAAGTATCCTCCATTAATTACGACGCCCCC